AAATAAATTAAGGATTTATATACAAAGAAATATATGCAGCAATGTTTGATGTTGAGTGTATGACGTCACAGACTCCAAAAAATAATCGTAAAAATATCATACTTTCGTACTGAATATCGAGAAAACACTTCATACAGTGATTATTGGACCTTTAAAGAGTATTCTTAGGAAGTTTCAGCTGAATCCAAGTTTGAGCGATTTTCGTCGTAGTAGCACTTTAAAACAATATTATTTTATGTTTGAATAAAATATAAAAAGCTATCAAAATCCTGTTAAAGTTGTGTGTTTTGATGTCCACAAAAACTTCCAATTTAACTCAGCGATAAATGTGGTTTTGTGTCTACAAACTTTGTGAGGCATTTTGCAATTTATCATACTTGAGAATAGCTTAACATTGTTTCTGCAAGATATTTGTGATCCATATGGGAAAGCTTATCAGGTTTAGTACTGGATGGACTGATTTTGTCTTAAAGTAAACTTAAGCTTTCTCTTGTGAGGCCTTTTTCATCACTTTCCAAACAGGCTTGTCAGTCATCCGCACAAGATTTTTCTTTGTTTAAGAAGTCTGTAAATGCTTTAAAATTAAAACTGTTACGTCTGCTCTTCACACAAGCTTCACTTTTGAAACTGTCATCCTCGGATTCTGATTCCAATATTAGTCAAAAATGCTTTTAAGTACAAAAACTACAACAAGAAATACACACTTCCACACTTCAACTTAACTGGCAGGAATCACAGCAGTCCTTGCAGTACCATCATCATAACAGGCAGATTAGGTCCCAGGTCCTGGACACTTTTTGGTGCTCAGTGACATTTTTCAAAGGCAAAATATAAATATTTTAAAAAGCTGAATTTCAAAAATTATTGAGCCATGATCAAAAACTCATGAAATTTAATACTTTATAGTAATTTGGTTTCAAAATCACTTTTAAACCTATGATACAGGACATGTTAAACACTTTAACCTATAAGTTTGAAACTTAAGGTCACTCTCTACTATTGAGCATTCCATTTGTATAATTCATTAGTTGACAACTTTTCAATTTCCAATGCAATTTCAATAGGGGTACAGGGAAAGAGATAAAAGATTTCTTTGATTGAACGTAACAGAGGATAAATGTTTGCAGATTTTATAGCATTGCCCGAGTATATATCTAGACTAGAGAAGAAGGTTTTGAATAAGTCAGCAATAGCTAAACGATCAGACAACACGTTAGTGTTGATGGTAACTTTAGAAGTAGTAAATGATAGATCACCTTTAGTATAGGTAATCATATGGTTTTGAGCTTGAAACTGTATGATTGGTATCCAGTGAACTCAAGTTAGCCACAGGTGTGGTTTGGCCGCCCGTAATGCAGGGTACAGATGCCTGGAGTTTATTACTTAAGGTGGCTACATGGGGTTTTATGGATGGTTTTATCCACCAGCTACCATGCAACTTCAGATATTGAAATTTCACGTTCAATATGAAATTTTCCAAAAATACTCTTACAGTTTTTCTTCAAGTCTGCGAGAGCTTTTATTTTGAGTCATTAAATATGCAGAAATCATTGTTTGGCGATTGCGTGACTGAAGACTTTTCGAAATAAATTCCCTTGAAACATCATTGCTTTTCAAATCTAGTCTATACAAATAAAAGAAAACATGATGATGATATATTGTTTAAATATGACTAAGAAATGAGAGCACCAAGCGAATTCACTTTGTGGTCTACTGGTTAGGTTTAGGGTTTCGATATTTCTTGGTGTCTTCAATCCCACTCCTGTACGAATAGCAAATACAAGTCACCATACAGGTGGCGTACGAATAGCCACTGCCTACTATTTCAAGGTCCCCAGATAAGAGATCATGGTTACGGTAAATATGATCTCCTACATAAGGAATCTTAAAATAAGAACTTTTACTATATCGAAAAAATCAATTTTAAAGGTGGCACTTGTCTTTCAAAAACTTGTCAAGATGGTAATTGAAAATTCAATATCTCGAAAACGAGCATTCATTTTAGGAATCAGCGTTACTGTTAAACTCTGTATGGTATAGCCTTCTAGAAACAGTTTTCTCAAGCACAAGCTCATACGTTTATTTAGCTCAAGTAGCAGTTTAATACCTAAGCTAAAGGTTTACAGATCGATGGAAAAAGACAGGAACAACACTTAATAGGGAGAAACCATTTTTAAACTAGAATTCCATTTTATATGAATATTTTGGCACAGTATGTCGCAAAGAATATGTTAGAAATTCATCTCAAAAACTGGTAAGCGTCACAAAGCGCACGTGTTTCTGAAAATGCCTGAAGTACTTACCGCTTTGTACTCATACTGCAATGATCTGGCCGTGGCATCCGCCATGATGGCTTATTAATTTAGTGTTGCAATGTTCTTTGAGATTTCTCTGTAAAATATACTCCCTTAATAGCGCGTTTCGTTTCTTTTTTCAGCTATGCACCACATTTTCAACATGGCCGGCAAACGTAGCGAAGGCGTTCTCCCATGGCTAAAACCGCTGACCGTAAACTCTTCCACAGTCCATCGCTCGGCCGCTGCGAAGCTGAAAAGACTTGGTTGATTCATCACAGGTAGCCCAAGCTAGAGGTTAGGAGATCCCATTCTACTGGTAGTTCCCTGAAAAAACCTCAATGAAATCGGATCAAAAATGTGAAGTGAAGTATATAAAATTTTGGCTGACATTGAAAAGTAGTACCTCTTTCGCTTTGTGTACTTAGAGTTTGCAATGATCCAAAATATAACTACTTTTGAAAGTGGGATAAGTGCGATTTTTTTCGAAGTTCGAACTCCATATTTTTCTATTTTTAAAATGCATAATATCATCAATTTGGCAATATTGTCTTAGTTAGAATGACTACCAAATCGAATAATTTTCCTTAGCTGAAATGCTAACAGTATAAATATTGCTGGCAATAGCTTTTGCAGCGCTTCTCAAATTGCACACACATGAATCGTGAAAAACAAACCGCCGCCATCTTGAAAATATTGAAACGAGAGAGACTGTGGACGAGTATTTTGGTTCCCAAAGCACGCTGGGTCCAAGTTTTCGGGACCCATAAGTCCTTTCGGTCATTGTTCCGTTACAGTCTATAAGCGTGGAGATGGAACGGACGAGCGAGAGACTGTGGAAGAGTCTAATTTCAATCTCGTACCCAGAGCCTGCGTTTCTTCTGGTCTGCGGCGAAGAACGAGGGCTCTAATCCATTCTTTGAGACCAGGATTTCTTGGACTTCCGGTATGAGAGCGCATACGTTAAAAGACTTGCCAAAAATAAAAAAATATGTTCCCGATTTCTAATTCTTATTTTGATCGAAATAAACACAGAACTCTGTTTGAAAGTAGGTTTGAAAGCATGATTTTCATTCATTATATTTCACTTCCGGAAAACTGCTCATGCGCCAAAAATGGATTATGCCAGAGTATGGGGCGCCGATCCAGTCAATATTCTCATCATTTATTTCATGGCTTATTGTATTTTTATTGTGGTCTTTGAATTTGCTTTTATGGTGATTATATTTATTTTTTGGTAGGACTGAATTTGCTTTTGAAGCACCCGAATTTACTTTTATGGTCATTTGTTTAATCTTTGGCAATCGAATTGATATATTCTAATGCAGGAATTTTTAAATTGTGATCTGAATTTATTTATGGTCTTTGGATTTTTAACATGCTAATTATGATGCATTGCGAGTTTGGATTTGACCGAGTGAGAGACTGGTTGTCAAAACAAGATGGTGGAGCAAGTCGCTCGGCATTTTGCTGCTTTTTGGGAACTTTGATCGAAAAAATAATAATGAAATCGCAATACAATCAAGTAATTTTTAGCGATTATATGATCTTAAGGGTTAAAACTATCATATTAAACAAAAAACAGCGAATCCTGATATGCACTTTAAGTGAACAGTCAGAGTTGATATTTAACTTGGAAAGG